ACCGCTCTACCCGCATTTGCTATCCCGGCAAAGCTTCTTTTCCGGAACACATCCTGCCTGGGTGATTTCAAATGTATTTAATGGCCGTTGTCTAACTCATGTCGATGCTCTACTTCTTTCCCCCCTTTCTCTTTCCTCGGGCCGCTCTCTTCCTGCTTCCCCTTAGATGTCGACTCAGTCTATCATTGGCTCCTCTACCGCTGTAATTGGCGTTTTAATGTACTCCCTTGCCAAGCATTATTGCAAATGATACTATTTGGTCGCCCTGTTTCTCCTTCTTTTCAAAGCGTGGGTTTTTATGTCTTCCGACTATGTCTTTTCTATAGTCATCATCTCGTACTCTCCCAATCGGAACGGAAAAGGACAGAGAGATACCGGTCACAAGAATTACAAGCATTGGAAAAATAGTTGGATCAATGTCTGTATTTAAACCATCAAGAGAGGCAAAGTCAAGTTATTTTCGATCATGGGTGACGGTAGCTGGCTGGATTTACTGATGAACTTGTCTACAGGGAGTCGTGCGAAGTTACTGAAGGAAAATAAGAGGCCAAAGTTAAATACTAAGTTGAAAGATTTCATTTCTAGTATACTCGCTTAATCAATCCTTGAATCATAGAAATAACAAGAAAATGAGGAACTGAAAAATTAACAACATGTATGTTGGAACGATTTTAGAAAAAGGTACCCAAGCATCCTAAAATTCCGTATTGGAGCAATGTACACGAAGGTACGCAGTACCTGTTGGGGTATGCAGACTCGAACCTCCTCAGCAATCCTTCTACTCTCCTTCGCTGTTTTGCTATACCCAAGGAGCATGGAGCATGCATCACCCTTTTCCCATGAGAAGTTCTGTCCTTTTATAGCCTTTCCTTAAGGTCTACCAGCAGTGATCATCAGGTGGATGTGAGCTGCAGACACGCCTTGGCTTGAATCGGGGGAAATAGAGCTGAGAGGTCTCCAACGGGGAATGGCAATGGGCCAAATAAAGCAAGATATTTTGGAGCAAATTTAGCCCTAAACTTCCACACGCTCACTCAATAAGTAGTTTTTGGTCTTATTTAGTATATTCGATATATGATTTTTTGTGTCAAGCTGATTATATGGTATCAAAGGATTCTTGGAAGGCCAGATAATGAGCAATCAAGCGGGGAGAAATGGATGCAGATCTTGATTTTTTGAAAGAGTTTCTTTCCCTCCGTCCTCGTAACGCCGCCGCTCCTAAGGCGCCTGCAAAGCAGCCTTCAAACCTTTTCAGCTTGCTTTCATACACTAGCTACTCAGCCACAAAACAATTTTCTCATCAGAGGTATGCTTTATTTTTGAATTAAAAAGTAGAGTTATACTGGTGTATGGAGTCTCTTTGAAATCCTTATGAATCACGAAAGCGAGCCGTCCCACGTTGTAGGACCATGCCGCTTTGAGTCGGGGAAACGTTTGTGTAACAGTTTCTGAGCAATATTCTGAGCATTCATGACATGTGCTATACGAGCCTTACATGCCCTTTATATTATATACAGCACATGTGTTGTTCTTCACGATGCTACTACTAAACTTCATTTGGTCTTGACATTAATTATCAGAAGACCTTTGCGTCAGGAATACATAACTATCTCATCAGGTACTTCAACGAGTGAGGACATGTTATCTTGTGCACATACTGAAATATTGTCATCATGTTAGACGCTATCATACAAACTCATATCTGAATCCTTGCTATATGAACTTTCAACCCTCTGAAAGTTTCAGCCTGCTAGAATGCTGATTTGCTCAAATGAACAAGCTTTCCCCACACTCACTTTGCCACGATTCTCGTCCTCATGCCATACTTTCTGGGGAAAACACACAGGTATCCGAGCATGCATCTAATTCTACAACTGAGCTATTGCTTTTTCTTTCTTATGAGGATATGTACCATCTTAAGCGTAGCTCCCCAAGAGTGTCCACGCTTGACGATGAAAGCCAAGATTCGTCCGAATGCTAAACGCGGGGTCTTGGCCGGCGGCACTGTCAAGATCTTCGTCACACTTCGCGCAAAGGTCCCCGTAAATAGATTGGACTTCAAGCTGCTACTTCCCAGGGGGATGACAGTGAAACGCACAGCAACTCGTCCACGTCTTAAATCATACACATCGCCCGAGATCATTGAGAATCTCGATGGAACGACAGCAGTATACTGGCTACAAAGTGACTTGGATAGGTTCAGAAAGCGACGGTTAATAACCAAGGTCCAGGTTGATAAGTGCGCTTCCTCTGGGATTCTAGCCGTGGATGCGACCGCATATCTTGTGAATGCAACAAGCATCTCTTGCACAACAACCCTACCAAGCCCGTCACTCGTACGTGTGCGTCCTCCCAAACTCAAGCCCTCAGCCACTTGCACGCCGACACCCGGCCCCTCTGGCAATCCTGCGGAGCCATTTGTTTTGTTTGCGCAAGAACAGAGGTTCTCGCAAAATGATCGACTTGCGCCATTCGATGATCGTCGACTCCTGCCCTCAAGACCGACCAGCGAAGTTGGACTCTCCCATTCATTCGAGACCGCACATCGCGCACATCGCCAGCTTCAAACCGTCGCTACGCTGGAAGATTGTTTTGAATACTGCTCACTAAATGGAGCGCAAATTGATCCTTCCTTATTTAGTTGGAACAACGCAGCACGCGAGTGCTATTGCTGTATGAGTGAATGCACTCCTTTTGTGTTCGACCCCAGATTCGACATATACGATGTAGTTGTACCTGCAACTCTGGCACCTACGATCGCACCGTCTAGTCCTTTGGTGTCACCCACATCTAATCCTAGCGCTTCTCCTACCACATATTTCATTCCCACCATGTCTCCTACCGCTGATCCAACCCCTGATGCATCGACGACAGCTCCTAGTCCACGACCAACCGTGACTCCGGCCCTGACTCCTACCAAACAACCCACAGTAGGTCCAACGGTGGCTCCCACAATGCAGCCGACGGTAGCCCCAACCATGGCACTTACAATACAGCCAACGGCAGCTCAGACGGTGGCCCCCACAATGCAGCCGACGGCAGCCCCAACCATGGCGCCTACAATGCAGCCCACGGCAGCCCCGACGGTGGCACCTACGATGCAGCCGACTGCAGCTCCAACCATGGTTCCTGCGATGCAGCCCACGGCAGCTCCAACCATGGTACCTACGATGCAGCCGACGGCAGCTCCGACGATGGTACCTACGATGCAGCCGACGGCAGCTCCAACCATGGCACCTACGATGCAGCCGACGGCAGCTCCAACCATGGTACCTACGATGCAGCC